AAATAGCCTATTGATATAAAATAGCCTATTGTTATTCTACAACAGCCTATTGTTATTCTACAACAGCCTATTGTTATTCTACAACAGCCTATTGTTATTCTACAACAGCCTATTGTTATTCTACAACAGCCTATTGTTATTCTACAACAGCCTATTGTTATTCTACAACAGCCTATTGTTATTCTACAACAGCCTATTGTTATTCTACAACAGCCTATTGTTATTCTACAACAGCCTATTGTTATCCCAAAATGCAACTAATTGTTAAGGGACTGCTCTGCATTTGTCTGGAATAAAACACAAGGGAGTGCAAGACAAATAAGATTGTTAACACGTCACTATTTTTCAATGCTATGGGGAGAACTTGCAACCCTAAAGATACATCAAGATCTATTGAAATTCATGTCTACTTTGTGGATAGGATTGTAGAATAGGTGATTTTTCTAGCCTCTGCAAGATCTTGCATATTGCCTGAAACATGGTTCATTTGCTTCATCAAAATTCACCATCAAAGGTGTGTAGTATATCCTGGGGGGCGGAGCTACGTCACAGACGTTCTACGTTGCTAAGACGCGCACCACTGTACCACGTATTTCTAAGGGCTTTGTGCGCGCTACTGTGGAACGCCGGTGGAGCCGGTGAAAACTCGAGAAAACACAAACTCAACTTTGAAGTAATCCTGAACAACCAAATTCATACATGTTACACACGCAGGGCTAATCTTGTTACACTGTTCAGGGGAGTCTCAACAACCATCGCAAAGTACCGTTTTCTACCGTTTTCACCGCGAGGGTTGCCAGGCGGTAGAAATTGCCCGGATGTCCGCCCCTGAGGATTGTTACACATTTATATCCACTTCTTTCGTGTTCGTCAAATTCTATGTTATGTTTTGATGACACTATAATGCTATGACCTTTGGGTCAAATACTACCCACAATGCATTGCAGGCATGTCATTTTGGATGACTTGTAATGTGTCTATTGAACAATACTTCTTAGTTATCAGTTAGTGATTAGACACGAATGACTGAAATTTTTACTTTTCTATTAGTCGGCAATCAAACATTACTGAGAAACCATAAGGATTTGGAGATGTCTCTGAGGCAGGAAACATTTTCAACTTCTCTTCAATATGTCCATTTATTTTCAAAGCGATACCATGGCAACCGAGTACGTTAAAGTGGACCTGCCAGCTGCCCGACCATTTTGAGGTCTTAATTCCCTTATTCAACACACTAAAAAAGGATTTCAGTGTAGAATAGAAACACGAACACACTAACGTAACATGCACATAATGAAAACCCCACATCAGTATTTTATCGGCATGCCTGGCAATCAATACATTGAGATGCTAACAACACTGACAACGTTACTACATCTGAATCACAATTGCTGCACTCAATATGTAAACAGGGACACGATTTAAAAAAATGTGGGGGACGAAATGTAAGCAAGGAAGCTGACTACATTGCACGTCCCAAACCCACTCACATGTCCCCCCACCCCCACCCCACCGCCACGCCAACGTAATTTTTATAATCAAGAAAGATAATGAATTACAAGCTACAAGTGACAACTACAATTAAGCTGCATCTGACAGCAAATGTCCGTTTTACGGACAAAACTGGCATTACATGATATGCATGTTAATTCAATTTTCACACCCTGCTATTACATTTATCTTTTACGTAAACTGAAACCGACATTATAAGAGCCAACAGCTTAAAATGGGTAAAAGAAACTGGGTCAAAGGTAACACAATGATATTGTATAGGCATTTTGTATTCAATCCTCCCACACACGCACTCAACACACAGTTGCATTATAAAGAGTTTTTGTCAGACGCTGACCCTGAATGGCCTTCAACACCTTTGCAGAACACTATTCAATTTTCAAGACAAGCGAAAAAATAGATTAGGTGTAGTTTGACTGCAGTCGCAATAATACAACTGCAGAAGAAACAATTTTCCCTCAGTCTTTTGATGCACAATCACGTTGACGTTTTCGTAAGTAACAACCATTATATATTTTCTAAAATTGAGAAGGGAAATTATTCATCCAAAATTATTAAAAATCACTAGTTCTAGTTCTTGTGCATATTTTTCACCAGTATTTTTAAAATTACAATCGCAATCACTTTTGTATGATTTGGAAAGTTGGGGTGGGGTGGGGTAGGGGAAATGCGAGGGTTATTCACAATTTTATCTCAGTGAAAATTTCACAGTTCTACAAGCAGACCATGAGCATCTTTCCAAAAAAATATTTTTTTAAGTCACATTTTTAAATCAAAACATTCCAACAGAAATAAAGCAATTTGCATTACACTGTAGCACCAACAAAAATCATTTATGATTTGTCTGGCAGCACATACCGATCAAGATATTTCGCATGATAAAAAGTTTTTACATAACTCGTTTTATTCATGGTCTTTTACCTGTTAAGATACAAGATAAGAAATATCACACGGATTGTCATGTGATCATCGCTAAGTATCAGTCGTCTATTATACTTTCATAAGAAGTACAGATATTATAATAGCACTTACCCAAAACTGTTATGTCAGCTTCTTCTTCCAGAATGATTGTTCCAGAGTAGGAACATTTCCACATCGCCATATCATCAAAGTTAGCATTCCTTATTTTTAACGTAAAGTCACCGTTTTGCGTATTACCGACAATCTCGCAACATTCATCAAAATCATGATCAGCGAAAAGCTGGCCTGCTTTGTTACCCAGGTACAGCGATAATTGCCCTCTGTTCCATCGAGACTGGCGGAGCCTTCAAAATCATTGAAACTACAATTCAACAATACCTCGTTTCCTTCCAAAACCACAGTATCTATGGGAACACCACGAAATGACTGCGACAATACTGTAAAAAACACAGAATACATTCAGTTAAAAAATGTAATGTTCATACAATGTACAAGAAATCATATTATGAATGCATGAAATAACCTAATTCATAGCTATGTATGAGACGAATGCACTAGTCTCCATTTCTACGAAAGTTTGTCAGTAATCAGAAGAAACGAAGTACAACCACTACATACTATGACAGACCCCACACCCTTCCCATGGCTTTCGTTGCATATGGCAGTTATTTTCACGAGTGATTTGGTGTATCCTGCGGCCGTACTTTCACGGGTGAATTTTAATAAAACTGTTACTAGATGGTCAACAAACATTAAGTTCTCCCAATCGTAGTATTCCATGTGATGTACGCCTAAATATCCCAAAAATGTTGCTGAATGATTTGAACAGGATAAAAATATAGTTGAAAATATATTCACAAAATAAAAATAGTTCGGTTGTCAATGAATCCACCATTGTCATTTGCATATTGACCATGAAAATTATTCGGTGATATGCAAATTAGTTTAAGTCGAAATAAGTGACTGCCTAAAAGTACAATTACTGTTCAAATTTCATTTCACTCGGCAAGTATATTCATGTACTCCAAGAGAAAAATATCGTACTTCCAAATATTGTTTATTTCTGCTATGTTTCAAAAAACAGTACTCCTAAAGGGACTACTGGG